ACACAACTTGGGGACAGACATATTCAAAATTCGTAGAAATCCGTTCAGTGGTTCCAGAGATATTGAGAAGTCTCTTTGGACCGACCCCATGCCTGTTTGTATGCCCCAAACAGTTCCACAGATTCAGGCTGTGCGGTCGGTCTATTTCTGCCTTGAAAAATAACAAATTCCCATCCGAAGGCAGCGTTCGAATAGTCAAATGCACTTCGACTTCTCTCGAAGTGGCGAAGTAAAACGGGGTTACATTTCAAGGTGGTCGTTAGTTGAGTGGCAGTCTATTTTACACGAAAAAGATGACAAAGTCCCATTCGAACATGTGTTCGAATCTTTGAATGGGACTTAGTCTCCAGCCGCAGTGTCGAAGGGTAGAGGAAGGTACAGGTCAGTTCGTTCAAATGTGTGGCTGATTTCTGTTCCAGGGATTTGACGACACACACCGCTGACCGCGTTCGACTGCATTAAAATGGCGGCCGCTACGTGTTCGATTGTCTAATGGCGGCCACTTCGACTACTTCGGCACTTCGGCTGTATCCGAAGTGCCATATTAAACGTACCCATTCTTTGCACAACACAGTTAAAGGACCAGAAACAGTTTTTGTTCTTAGGTGCAGGGCAATGTGGATGTTGGCAGGAAAACAAAAGATAGAGGTTCCCAGGCAACATGGTAGGAGGCTGGTACAACATATATTACAGTTCCAATGCAAAACAGAGGGATTTGTTACATAGAAGGGGGAGCACAATAAGCAGAAAGGTAAAGGAGCAGAAGGAGCCAAGAAGGAGAGGAAAAGAAGACTGTGTCAAATGAAGGAGAAGAAAAGGAGATTGGAGCAGGAAGGACAAGTTAAGTAAACCCTCCACTTTATTCTAGACACCACATCATAAGGCTTTGGTACCTGGGCCTGGCAGGGAATCTTTGGACCTTCTCATCTCCTCAGGTAAAAAAATATCAGTGTTAATGTGTTCACTTTTATTTACTGTCTGAGTGTCAGAAAGCACAGAGGGCCGCTGGGGAGGGGTGTCGCTGATTGGCTAGAGCGGTCAGCTGGCACTCTAAGCCACTCAGTAATCCCCCATTCATAAAAAGTAAAACATTTTTATGAACCGGAACTAGCGATTGGCTTAGAGCAGGCTTCCCCAAACTCCGGCCCTCCAGATGTTGCTGAACTACAACTCCCATGATTCTATGAATGAAATAGATAGGCTGAGAATCATGGGAGTTGTAGTTCAGCAACATTTGGAGGGCCAGAGTTTGGGGAAGCCTGGCTTAGAGCGTCAACTGACCACTCTAGCCAATCTGTAGCACCCATGCCTGATGTCAATCTGCACTTCCTGACACTCAGTTTCAGAAGCCAAATACCACTGGAGACCTGGAAATCTGGAGCTGGAGAAAGCCTTTGGGGTTAAACCATTTGAGAGCGGTTTAACCCCTTAAAGGAAAGAGAGCACCCAGGGGCTTCCTGGCATCATAGCATTTTCATTTAGATTAAATTGTTATGGTTACCAGAATGTTCCTTTAATTTGCTTAAAGGAACACCATAGTGTTTGTATTCCTGACATCATAGTTGTGAAAATGCTATTCACCCTGGCTTTATGTGATAATGACTATGGTCCTCCCTTTCATGACACTGTCAAAAAGGGACAAAGCATGGATGTCATTACAATTATGCCCCACCCCGGAAAAATTACTGTGGACGCATGGTCAAAGGCATTTGAAAGTTGATATGGATTGACACATGAATGCGTCGTCGCATTCTCGTTGGGGAGCACATTGAAAAAGTGCTCTAGCATGACGAGCTGGGTGATCTCCTCCAGGAACTTGGCTTGATGGAAGTTGAGCCAGTTCTGGATGGCCCTTGTGATGCCACGGTGTATAGTAAGATATATCAGAGCTTCTGCAGAAAGTGCGGGCTGTCTGTGCGTGCTTTTGCGTGCTTTTGGCATTTTTGGCGTTCTCTGCTGCTTGCCTGTCTGCGCTGCAGCGTAACTTCGACCTTTCCGCTCACCGCCTCATGAGACTGTGCGAGCAGAAGCAGACGATAGTGGAGTTTCAGATGCAGCACGCATGAGTCAGTCCCTCTGCGGAATAGTTTTCTTTTTTTATATGTCCCAATATTTTGGTGGCAACCCAAATTAAAATAAAAAAAATGTTGGCTACCTCCTCCTCCTCCTCCACCGCCGATTCCACATACACCGCCACGGTCACCGCCTCCTCAACCTATGGCTCACTTAGTATAAACTATGTACACAATAGCAGAGGCTTGTGAAGACATTTTCTCCATGCATCAGGAGTTTAGCATTTCTCCATGGATCAGGACTGCAAGAAATGCACCGCAGGCCGCAAATGTTTCTTTTTTTATATGTCCCAATATTTTGGGGGCTACCCCAATAAAAAAACAAACAAAAAAAACAGTAAACAACAATTACAGGGTGTGCCAAAAACAAAGTAAATAATTAAAATGTATAATAGGAAAAAAATACCAGGGAAACAGGCAAATTAAAGTCTCTAATTCACAGGTATATTCTTCAGAAATTCTCAGGACGTCTTGGGTCAAGTTCTCATCAGCATATATGGAAGAAAACAAACACACAGAAGGGACAAATGGTGCAGCAATCTTAAATGAGTATGGCTACAGACAACACTGAGATTAAGAAATGCCAACTCACATTATGGGAGCTATAACCAGCTCGAGTTAAAACAGCATACAGTGTTATTTAAACTCCTCACATGTAGGATATTCCTCTCACGAGATTTTCAGTGCAGGTTATATGAAATAAAAACACAAGAGAAGGCCCATAGTGCTCTCTATATTAAAAAAAAGTGCTGGATAAAATAACAGATGTACTTACAATTTACAGAGCAGACAAACCGCTCTGTGTTAAGCGCCTGGGTGGTACGATCCCCACCATGGATTCTTTGGATGGCATAAAAGCTTCAGATGTTTAGGATATGCCAGGTAAAAAATAAGGATAAATATAAAAGTATTTAAAATAATCTGAAAAAAATACTTTTATTTAGATTAAAACACAACGCGTTCCGCCACAAAAGGCTTCTTCAAGTGTACATAATGTTAACCTGGCACATGTAGGTTTATATAAGGTCCAAACAATCATCAAATTGAAAATAGTGTCTTATTTGACCTTTGACCCTAAATGAGGTCACATGGCATGTTTCAAAGGTCAAAGGACATATAAACAGGAAGTAGAAAAACTAAAAACAATAAAAACAATATTACATAGTTGACTGGGCAAATTTACATTTGAGCTGGAAAAAAAGGTCAGTGGGCTTGTGCACCACCAGCCGAATATACCCACAAGTTCAAATCCCCCCATCTCTCCAAGGCAAACACAAGCAATATACTGGTTATGTCAAGGGGAGAAGGGAGTTTATAAATATTATTTAAAAAAATAGAATAGAGACAAAATAGAAATAAAAGGACAATAAGGTTAAATATAGAGGCAAAAAAAATATAATATATACCCTGTTTCTTATAAAAGACATCATTAACAGTAAGATAAATAAGATTATTAACAGGATAAATATTGGAGTAAAAATATATCACTTTGTGGAGAGTAAACATGTACATTCTATTTCTTATAAAAGACATATAAAATGTGTTTATTTAATAAATGATCTTTATAATTATAAAACAGTGTTATATGGGATAATTATACAAAGTTAAAAAGGTCAACATCCGCATTTAGGCCATCTGGTGTTAATGTTTTCAAGTTAAAAACCCATTCCATTTCGGTTTTTCCCAATATCTTTTTTTATTTCTCCTCCTCTCCATGGGGTTGTGCATGGGGTTGATTTTTTTATTTCTCCTCCTCTCCATGGGGTTGTGCATGCTTAAAAAAGGTTATTGTGTTTATCTTGTTATTATCTAAAAGTTGTCATTATACCAAGGACTTGATAGTGCTCCAAAAAGCCAGTTTTTAAGACTAAAAATAAATTGCTCTATACCAGAAGATTTTAATACACAAACCACCATTTTAAAAAATAAGTTTTTAGAAAAATATTACCCGGAAAATAAATGAAACTCTATAATTACGAAAGTAGAGCTCAAGGATAGAAATTGTCTCCTTAAATATAAAGAAAAAAAGTAATAATAAGAACTTTCCATCAATCCAATTATATTTGACTATAATAATAAAAATAGAGACATCAAAAAAATTATTCAAAAACATTGGCACATTCTACTTCAAGATAACGTCTTGAAGGATATCATCTCCCGCAAAACCAAATATTATCTTTAGAGGTGCCCCTAATTTTAAAAGCCTTATCACTAAAAACTATACAAAAAAAGACAATTAAATCTTCTACTTTATCCAATGCTAAAGGTTTTTTTTTTAATGTAGAAAATGTATCATATGTAGAACTACAAAAGATTTGGTTCCAAATAAAATCACGCATTTTAAATTCAATATCACCAATAAAACATATAATATAAAGCACATTATCATGTGCAACACAAAAAATGTAGTCTACCTATAGGAGTGCCCTTGTGGCCTCTAATACGTAGGCATGACATCCAGATGTTTAAAAATTAGGATATCTGAACACTGCAGAAATATCAAGAATGGTTATGAAAATCATATGGTTTCCAAACATTTTCTGACACACCACCAAAAAAATCCTTGCGATCTAAAATTTACAGCCATTCAAACATGCACAACCCCATGGAGAGGAGGAGAAATAAAAAAATATTGGGAAAAAACGAAATGGAATGGGGTTTTAACTTGAAAACATTAACACCAGATGGCCTAAATGTGGATTTTGACCTTTTTAACTTTTTATAATTATCCCCTATAACACTGTTTTATAATTATAAAGATCATTAATTAAATAAACAAATTTTATATATGTCTTTTATAAGAAATAGAATGTACATGTTTACTCTCCACAAAATGATATATTTTTACTCCAATATTTATCCTGTTAATAATCTTATTTATCTTACTGTTAATAATGTCTTTTATAAGAAAAAGGGTATATATGATATATTTTTGCCCCTATATTTAACCTTATTGTCCTTTTATTTCTGTTTTGTCTCTATTCTATTTTTTTTTAATAATATTTATAAACCCCCCTCTCCACTTGACATAACCAGTATATTGATTGTGTTTGCCTTGGAGAGATGGGGTATTTGAACTTGTGTCCTTCAGGGGTTGGGTGTATTCTACTGGTGGTGCACAAGCCCACTGACCTGTTTTTCCAGCTCAAATGTAAATTTGCCCAGTCAACTATGTAACATTGTGTTTATTGTTTTTAGTTTTTCTACTTCCTGTTTATATGTCCTTTGACCTTTGAAACATGCCATGTGACCTCATTTAGGGTCAAAGGTCAAATAAGGTCCATTTTCAAATTGATGATTGTTTGGATCTTATATAAACCCACATGTTCCAGGTTAACATTATGTACACTTGAAGAAGCCTTTTGTGGCGAAACGCGTTGTGTTTTAATCTAAATTTAAAAAAAAATTCAGATTATTTTAAATACTTTAAGATTTATCCTTAATCTTTTACCTGGCATATCCTAAACATCTGAAGCTTTTATACCATCCAAAGAATCCATGTGTATGCTGTTTTAACTCGAGCTGGTTATAGCTCCCATAAATGTGAGTTGGCATTTCTTAGTCTCAGTGTTGTCTGTAGCCAAATTCATTTAAGATTGTTGCACCATTTGTCCCCTCTGTGTGTTTGTTTTTCCTATTATACATTTTATTTATTTACTTTGTTCTTGGCGCACCCTGTAATTGTTGTTTACTTTTTTTCCAGTCCTTTGAAGAGTTTTGAGGGTTACCCTTCCTTTCAGGTATGCAGCCTCCCCCACCCCGTTGTAATCAGTTTGGATAGCACTGTTCCATCCCTATTTTTTTTTTCTTTATTATTAAAATAAAAAACAGTGTTGGCTACCTCCTCCACCGCCGCTTCCACCTACATCGCCACGATCACCGCCTCCTCAACCTATGGGTCACTTAGTATAAACTATGTACACAATAGCAGAGGCTTGTGAAGGCCTTTTCTCCATGCATCAGATGGATAATTTTGTTGTTCCTCCTGACAGCCATGCTTTAGATTTTGATTTATGTTGTTCCAAAGCTAAAATCAAAGATTCCATCTAGTGCTATTTTTATGGCTCAGCTGTATTTTAAATTTTTATGTTATTTTAAGTGATTTCCCTATCCACATTTGTTTGCAAGGCACTTGTCCTACTCTTACCCCCATTTTACTTCCTTTTGCAGCCCTCTAGCCCTTTCCAGGACTTTTTTAGAGGCTTTTTTGTGGCCAAAAGTTCGGGTCCCCATTGGGTTCAGGTATGGTGTCAAGTTCCGTGGCAAGTTCGATCACGAACCCGGACTTTTTTTCAAAGTTCGGCTGGACCTGAACATCCAGGTGTCCGCTCAACTCTACTCCTCACAGAAATCTTTCATGTTAGTCTTGCATATATTGAAGGGAGTTCCTGTAGTGACTGAGTAGAAGCCATGTATAAGCTACCTTTTCTAAGAAAAGGCATTGTTTACATTGCTGAAACAGCAGCAACAATCTTTTTGCACCAGAATTACTATATCAAACTGTAATGCTTAGAATGTCCATTTTAAGAATACATTTAATTTTAAACTATTTATTACCTTTTAGATATATAGCAAAATAATGAATTATTATTTATCAAACACGTAAACATACAATTGCATCTTCCACTGACTAACCATGATACCTGTATGTAAATTAAGTTATTTGGAAGCCATATATAAGAAAAAGATCAATTAAACTTTAAGGTTTGAGTCTTTTAGTATCATTTTATATGTCATTACAAGATAAAAGAGGCAAAATAAAAACCCAGGTATCCAGTGATATCTCAGAATGTTCAGACAAGGTCCTTTATTATCCATATTTTTATATATTTGGTTCAGGAAGTAGTATGGATATAATCAAGCAACTACCTATTCCATATCATCCTCTAGACTGTAAGTCTGTTTGAGCAGTGTCCTCATCTACCTATTGTTCCTGCGTAATTGTCAGATTTATTGTAAATTTTCCCCCTTTCATAATATTGTAAAGCGCTGCAGAATTACATGCAGTGTGGCATATTGTGTACCCTGAAACAGAGAAGCAGCAGAGAGATCCCTAGTGCCAAGGAATCTTGGACAGACAGTGCACTGTCATCCACCTGCCAATAGCAGAGCCTCTCCCCTTTGGACTAATGAGGGTTATCCCAATCCTCAACATTACAACAATCTAACTGCAGGGATGTTTGATCACTACAGTGGAACACCCTCTTGAGCAAATTAGAATGGCTCTCTATCCAGTGGCGTACACACGATCCATGGGGCCCCGATGTGAAAATTGATCCGTTGGCCTCCCCACCCTCCACCGGCGCTTACTCTGCGCGGGCCGGGGCTGCAACACATGGCAGCGGGCACCTGGTAGCAAGGGTCACAGGGCTGTGACCACTGCGACTGCGGTGTGTACGCCAGTGCATGCAGATACACATACACTTAAAGGACCACTATAGGCACTCAGATCACTTCAGCTCAATAAAGTGGTCTGGATGCCAGGTCCCTCTAGTTTTAAAACTGCAGCCTATCACTGAGGGTTAATCCAGCCTCAAGTAGCTGTCTCACTGAGTAATGCTTTCCTATGGGGGGTTTGAATGCGCACACGGCTCTTGACGTGCATGCACATTCTGAGCTGAGAGGCGGATCGGGGCGGAGAGATCCCTAGTGCCAAGGAATCCGGCACTGGAGAAAGGTAAGCGCTGAAGGGGTTTTAACCACACACTCTCTTACAAACAGACGCATACACACTCCCTTACAAAGCATTCACTCCCACTGACAAACACACACTCACTAACAGACAACAAAAAGACTCACTAACAGACACACACTAACAGACACACACAAACTAACACACTCAGTAACAGACACACAGTAACACACTTACTGACACACACTGACTGACACACAAACTAACACACACACACTGACACTCATTAGCACAACTAACACACACAGTAACACACACACACAAAAGCTAACACACTCATTGACACTCACTAGCGGACACACACTCAATAACAGACACACACAAACTAACACACAACTAACACACTCAGTAACAGACACACACACAGTAACACACACACACACTAACACACATACACACTTACATTTTTTATTAATTTAATCCCCCAGCCTCCCTACCTTTGGAAGTGCTGAGGGGATTCCCGCTTTCTCTGGGGCAGCCGGTCCTGCAGGCACTAAGGGAGCAATCCTCCTGTTCAGCTCCCTTGTGCGCCGCTTAGTGAGGCCGGAGCCAGAATGACGTCATATTCTGGCTCTGGCATCACTGCGTTGCATCCGAGGGAGCTGGACAGAGATCGCTCAGGGGAGAATGCTTCCTCCCGCGCCCACCGGTGACACCACTTCCAACCTCGGTGGGCCCTGAGGTGGCCAGCTCCTGGGCCTCCCAGGAGAAGAGGTTGGCAAACTGGAATACATAATGGGTCACAGGGTAGCCAGGCCCTCTAGTGGGCCGGGCGATCGCAGCTGCGACCCATGCAACCGCAGTTTGTACGCCAGTGTCTTTATCCTTCAGTGTCAGATTGAATAAATGAAAGGGACACTATAGTCACCAGAACAACTACAACTTATTGTATTTGTTCTGGTGACTAGAATCATTCCCTTCAGGCTTTTTGCAGTAAACAGTGTATTTCAGAGAAAATGCAGTGTTTACATTACAGCCTAGAGATAACTCCACTGGCCACTCCTCAGATGGCTACTAGAAGTGCTTCCTGGGGCACTGCTACACAGTGTGCAACCATAGGCATGCGCACGGGGTGTGCCGGGTGTGCCTGGACACACCCTAATCCCCGCAGCACGCCTATGTATTGAGACCGGCAGAGGAGATCTCAGGATCTCCCCTGTCGGCACATGCAGAGCAGGCGCCATCCGAGCGCCAGCTCTGCTCTCAGCCTCCCTCCCCACCGACCCACAGGCAGGGAGTGAGGCAGTAGAGGACCCGGAGAGCTATTGCAGGCAGCCCTGCCGGGTTCCTCTCGCGAGATCTGAACGTTGCCGCAGGTACCGCGGCAACGCTCAGATCTCGCGAGAGTGAACTCTAGCCCCGCAGGCTAGAGCTCACTCTCACCACTAGGACCACCAGGGAAGGCAGAAAGGATCCCCCCTCCCTGGCATAAGGTAACAAGGGAGGTGGGATATTAAGTAATCTGCCTCCACCTCCACTGGACCACCAGGGAAGGCAGCAGCACGGTCCCCCCTCCCTACATAAGGTAAGAAGGGAGGGGGGATATTTATTAACTAATCTGCCCCCACAAATCACCCACACATACAGCACACATAAAGCACACATACAGCACACACACACACAGCACACACACAACACCCACACACACACAGCAAACAAACATCACCCACACACACACAGCATCCTCACACAAACAGAACACACATCACACACACACACACACATACAGCACCCACACAAATACAGCACTTTATTGTGAAATTGATTAATTAGGGTAGAACGAATAAAACAAAATATAAAAAAAAATCACCTAAAAAATATATACTAAAACAGAGGTGCCAAAAAGGTAGACCCCTCGATGCCATAGAACCACAATTCCTAAGTTGTGACTTATTATTAAATAAAGAGGAACACTTGCGAACAATCAAATGTCACTTAAAGCTATATTTTATCACTATAATGATGATGATAACATCAAATAGGATTTTAATACATTTTGGCATATCCTTCTATTGGATGATGCTTTTTATCTCAGGTTGTCTGTGTAAAAATGTTCTCAAGACTCCAAGACTATTTAGTTTAAATTACTAAATTAATTACTTGGGGGAAAAGGGACCTTTACGAAATTCGCACTTGTGAAATCATCTTTTAACTTTTAATAAACCCACATATGTGGAATCAGAGGAATGGACTTTCCAGCATGGAGCTGTGCCGTTTTGAAACTCCTTGCAAAAGTAACAGTACCTGTTACAATGTTATGATCAGGTGCCTACAAGACTACCTAACCGGACAGCTCCTTATCCGCATTTGACAAAGCTCTGTGGGTGGAGAGAAACGCGTTATGCATGTGAGGTTAGATTGGAAGAGAGGAAGAGCCGCTTAGTGACTAAAGAGCTACTGAGAGCCTTCTGAGAATTTAAATAGTTGATTTGTTTTAAATGTTTATAACTCTACTTGAGAAATAAAAGCTTCACAAATATGAACAGTCTCTGTCTGCAGTCTAGTTTATGCTTGGTGGATCCACTGAATGAGCTTGATCCCTCCAGGGCTCTTAAAATGAGAGTGGCACACAACCTTCTCAAATTCAGTGAGTTTGAAACCATAAGATTGGATGTGATTATATGTTTTTAAAGTGTATTGATGTTCTGAACTAGATGTTCTTATATTTTTGTCTTATAGGTTCCACACAAGGAATTATAAAATTATGTTTTATATAAGTATAATCAAGATTGTATGTGTTTATTTTGCACACCAACTTTTTGAGTTGACTTCTGTTATATTAGTTTATTGATGCATGCTTTTTATGTTTAAAAGTCAATTGAAAGTTTTCTTTTTTTCTGTTGTATTCTCTTATTGTGGAAAATTCCTGACTCTATGCAGCATTAGGGGTGGAAATGCTTTCATCCAGTTTCCATCTATGGTCTTTGGTTGGGACAGTTATTAAATATGATAAGTGGGGGTTGACATGCCACTGTGCACGCCCACAGTTAGAGGCATTGGGAACAATAACCCAACCCTTTATCTTCTGGGTGACTATCCAAAAAAAACTGCTCCTCCCTACACGCCAACCAAAGTAATAGGGTTGGTAATAAATCTAATAGCTGTATTATAAAAAATAAATCACACATACTTTCAGAAGTTTTCTTCACTTCCAAATTGTTTTAAACCCCCTAAAAAGCCTAGAAGAAATCCATTATATTCTGATGCTACGTTTAAAAGTAAAGAACATATGTTCAAAAAAATTATGAACAGGTTTAAATCACACTGCAATAAAAATAAACACATGTGAATCATTAGAGAATTAAGTTTCAAGTGTAAAAAAGGCTTTGCAAAGTATTTTGGTTGCTTTGGAATTGCAGTAGACTACTCGGACAGACAAGTTTCTCTCATGGGACTGCCTAGTACGTATGTTGCGAACTTGGTGTCCTATCGCCGTTATATCGATGATGTATTTTTTTTATATGGAAAGATGGTGAAGAAAGCCTGAAATGTTTTTTTGATTTTTTTAAATAATGATTGGGGTATTATTTTAACATCAACATATAGCACTAATCAGATAAAAAAATTTAGATCTGGAAATTTTTACTTTAGGGTCAAAAATACATACGAGGAACCATTTTAAGCAGGTAGATGCAAACCGCTATATTGACAAAAAAGCTGCCACTATTTGCACTGGTTGGCTTATGCCCCAAAGAGACAATTTTTAAGATTAAAACAACAGTTTATACAAAGAGGCTACGATGGAATGGAACTATCGACCTGTATGGAAGACGTTAGGAAGATTAAAAGAAAAGATCTTATTATCTATAAAGGAGCCACATCGAAGAAAAAAAATCTACAAGGAAGAATACAAATAAAATCCTGTTTATATGCAACCATAATGGGAATAATACAAAAATAAGAAAAATTATAAAAAAGTATTGGCCAATTTTACAGGATGACCCGATTTTAAAACAGATTTTACCCCCTGAACCAAAGATAGTATACAGGGGGTGTAAAAATATGAAACAGATGTTAGTAAAAAGTAGTTTTAAGACAAAGCAAATGGATCATTTTCTAAATAGAAGTAAAGGTTTTTATGGTTGTGGATCCTGCTTGGTTTGTAGAGAAACCAATCAGAAAAAAGGACACATTACCTCTTTTTTATTATTAAAAGGATTAAGAGTAATATTAAGAATCAATTAACATGCTTCTCCAAGAATGTAATCTATATCCTAAAATGCCCCTGTGACCTCATCTATGTGGGAAGAAGCACTAGAATTGCAGAGCATATAAGAAATATTAAAAATGGCGTGGAGACACATAGTGTTTCAAATCACTTTAAAACACCATAAAAATGACCCAAAAAATATGTTCTTGTCTGCCATTAAATTGGTACAGAAAGTTTGGAGGGGTGGAGATTTTAAGAAGAAAATAGGAGAAGAGGAAATGAAATGCATGTATAATTTTAAAACTCTGATCCCATATGGTCTTAATCAAGATTTTGAATTATGTCATTTTTTTTATCATAACTTATTTATTTTTTATGAGTCCTTTTTAAAAAAATTTAAAATTTTTAGAACCCCATTAATTTAAGAGCAAATTTGAATCTTATATATCAGAATTCCTCCTTTCCTTCAACTTTTCACTTGACAGGTGCTGTTACACTTGACATTATATTGAATGTTTGCACTCAGTATGATCACACTGTCCCTTTAAATAATATTTGTCTGTGTTTGTTACCCCACTCTGGATTTAATCATGTGTGTGTATATATACATCACAGCTGCACTGTCACTTTAAATACTTGTCGTCTGTATTTTCAAAATATGAAAGGATAATATTGAGCAATATCTAAAGTATTTAATATATATTTATTTGTTTATCTCTCTTATATAAGACAATAAGTGAATATGTCCATGATCTCTATGTACAAAATACTGAACTGAGGTATAGTGATATTAAAGATTCCTTCTGCTATACCTATTGACCTAGTGGAACGCAAGGTGCGCTCCAAACACGCAGAGTGTACATATGATCGGAATGGACATACGTCGCTGATCTAATGGAACGCAAGGAGCATTGCAATCACGTCAGACACATGACCAGATATGATGCAACAAGGAAGTAAAGCATTGATGGACAGGTGGAATGCAGGTTTAGTGATGTCCCAAATGGTTAGCCGAACGGTTCGCCACGGATGGCGAACATATGCGCTGTTCGGTCCGCCCCCTATTCGTCATCATTGAGTAAACTTTGACCCTGTACCTCACAGTCAGCAGACACATTCCAGCCAATCAGCAGCAGACATTCCCTCCCAGACCATCCCACCTCCTGGACAGCTCACTAAGAATGCAGCTTCACAATGAATGTAAAATGGATGCTGTCCAGGAGGTGGGAGGGTCTTAGAGGGAGAGTCTGCTGCTGATTGGCTGGAATGTGTCTGCTGACTGTGAGGTACAGGGTCAAAGTTTACTCAATGATGAAATAGGGGGCGGACCGAACAGCGCATATGTTCGCCATCTGTGGCGAACCGTTCCATCGGAATGCAGGTTGCATTCCATCAAAGAAAAAGACCGCAAATCAGAATATAAACAGTATATAAAGAACTGAATGGACATGCTAACACCAGCAAAGCCAACTGAGGAAGCCACGCTAGGCAAAACGCGTTTTGGCAATACATTGGACATTAATTATAGATTTTTATTCATATATATTTTATCCATGTATTTTACTAAATACATTTTTGTTTTAACTCCATTTGGATTTCCTGCAATTTACTTCTGGGTGGAGATTACAACACTCCAGGTATCCAGACCAGGTATCCAGCTCTCCAGATACATCCACAGGGGGATTTGGAGCACCCTTAGAGATCCTAAGGTCATCCACCCCAGAGCCAGGTTAAATACATGGCTCTACTCTTGTGAGTGTATTCTTGTAACAAGCGGTATTTACATATATGGTTTGAGTTATCTGCACTACTGTATACCTCTCTGTCTTTGCGGCATTGCTGGACTTATTGAGAAGAGAGTGAAGTATATAATTTGCTCCACCTATCGTGTTTCTATAATATGTGATTTTAGGTATTGGTATAGGCGATACCACATAGGTTTTTGAGCTTCTTTACCACTTGTGTCTTTTCTTGTATAAGCATCTTTTCTAGTTGGTGCTTGAACAAGTTGTGACATGAAGGTGTCATTTAACAAGCTCGAAAACCTACTGCCCCACCTCCCGGAAGAGTGTGGAAGCCAATCCTGTATTGCTCAAGCCCTTAAAGAGTTAGCATTTGGGCTAACACAGAGATGGTACTGTGAACTACTCTACCTGGGGGCTTTATTGACTGCACTCATTTCTTTCTGAAAGTTCTGTTTGGAGTGTTTTTTTAAAGAAGCTGTTGTAACATTTGCGGTAAATGAAGATTTTGGAAAATCCTTGCTGCCTAATCTCCTGCATCTGCCTGTCCTCCTATTGAAGAGTCATATTACAGTGGTGGAGAGGAGCATCTATAGTTTGAGGAGACTTATCTGCTCTACTTTTGTGAGTTATATTGCACTACCAATATTTTCCATATATTTTAGATGTTATTGAACTATATTGTTTTCTGTTCTTTTTATTTTCATACGTGACATTCTGGAGATTTATGTATGTAAGTAAAGTGTGGATCACTTTACAAGGATATTGTACTTTATTGCTTCACTATTTGCTGTAATGTGCACTTGTATTGCATGCACTTTATGAATAATACTGTGCACTTATGTCCACTGGATGTTTTTATTGTCCTAAAGGCACATCAATCTGAGAAACAAGTGCAAATGTACTAAAAATGGGTTTTTATTCTTCTTATATTTCCGTTTAGTACAAGACATTAATGTTTAACACACCCCCAACAAATATATCCAGATATAAGTGGAATAATACATCAAACTTTTGCAAAATAGTTTTAAAATATATTGTTCATGTTAAGTACTTTTTTTTTTTTGCCGGTATCTCACACATACGCTTTTAGCACAAATCTATTTATGCACCGTGATTATTCCTTGGAGTAATTAAAAAGCATGGGTTAATTTTAAACACATTTGCTGGTGTTGCCAAGTCACCCCACACCTTTTGAGAGGAAATAATTAATTCACAAACCTACATATTACAAATCACCCTCTAACAGTGAAATGACACCATTTGATATGTAATTAACAATATGGATTATTCCCTATTTGGATCCCGATCTTACCCTCTGCTATCTATATGGCAACCTGTTCATTCATCATTAACCATTCAAGCCTGGAAAAATCCCTCTGGAATCTCCTTCACTCATCAATTAACAGTGGTGGACCTTATCATGTAGAGCTGTCAACCTATCGGAGAATGTAGATGACATCAAGTGCAGCCCACATAAGGGAGATATAAGCATGGACATAGAAACATAGACATAGAAACATAGAATGTGACGGCAGATAAGAACCATTTGGCCCATCTAGTCTGCCCAATTTTCTAAATACTCATTAGATCCTAGCCTTATCTTATAGTTAGGATAGCCTTATGCCTATCCCACGCATACTTAAACTCCTTTACTGTGTTAACCTCTACCACTTCAGCTGGAAGGTTATTCCATGCATCCACTACCCTCTCAGTAAAGTAATACTTCCTGAAATTATTTTTAACCCTTTGGCCCTCTAATTTAAGACTGTCCTCTTGTTGTGGTAGTTTTTCTTTTTTTAAATATGGTCTTCTTTTAAAGACCATGGCTATATGAAACGTTTGCATATTCAATTATCTAGTGGGCGCTCAACCTCTATATGGGTGAAAGTGTGGTAGAAAAGGGTGTTGAGTGCTTAATGGGAAGAATCTGCTCCCCCACCAGATGCATGCACACAATAAAAAAAAACAACCCAAAGCTCACCAGATTAAGTTTGAATATAAAAAGATTTATTAATGCAGTGATTTAATAAAAATAGTACAGGAAAAGTGATTTGAATCACAAACCCACATAAAGCATATCGGGTATACAGATAAGTGCTTAGTTATAAATCCCACAAACCTATTGTCTTATTGGCATACTAACCAAGAGGAGGAGATACAGCAACTCCAACGTTTTAACGTCTAGCCTTCCTCGAGGGGGATCTCAAAAGATCACTATTTCACTATTGTGACATAAGCAAAAAAATATATGTAACATCCTTATGTCCATTTTATTCATTCTCTTTCAATGGTTGCTCATAAAAGTGAGAATATAGAATTAATTTTAAATTTAAGGCAAAACTAGTCAAATTGGTAAAAAAAAATATGTCTGACTACTTTAGCCTTAATTTAAAATTCTCCATGAATTCACTTTGAATTCACACTTTCGGGAATAAACCTTATAGCTGTATTGTTTAGTGTGCCTTGTAACTTATGTAACAAAAATTTATATTACCTTACAAACGGAATTGAATATCTCACCTGATTGTTCTCTGTTCTCCACGTTATATTTTTTGAAAACATTTCAAGCTGGTGACCCTCAGGCAACCACTCTGTGAAGACTCCAATATTACTTATATATGCAGAAAAATTAGATAATCTTAGCCAACTAAAAATTAAATATTCATTTCCAAATTCACCCATGTCATCAAAAAATAATGTGCGATTGATTGATAATATCATTGGCATATTTCTTAAATAGGCTTGTAACTATGAGAGAAAAAAATAAGACATCATAATTTGGATAAAAAGCACCAAGGTTATAATTTTTCAGGATATTTTCATGTGCTTTGATCCAGAAGAAAAATATACATCTGTTTGAGTAATACATCTCTTCAAATCTTCCCTCTAGATGACAATAGTATGTTTAATTATATCTTCTATCTGTGTTTACAATTTTAACTTGATCTAAGATAGTAGCCTGGTCTATAAAGTCTCTTTCTTCCTTAAAATGATAGATAGATGGAATACATCTTACTCAGAACTATATTTAGCTTTTGACATCTTTCTTAGAATTTGGCATTTTTTTCTGATGTTATACAGCACCAGAATGAAATAAAATTATATAAACAAAAAAGGTACCATTGCATACTATATCTTTATAGAGTTGTCCTTTCTTCCTCTTGATCATAATTTCTTCTGAGGAATAAAGGAAAACTCTTGAAAGGTTGTATTTTAAGTATTCTGTTAGTCCAATAAAACGATTTAATTGCATACTAAAAAATACTCTGGCATAAAAATAATATATATACCATAACCTGTCACTTCTCTGGAACTTTTAATGCCCTTGCTACCATTTTTTTAATTTTTGTAACATATGAAATAGTGAATAATAAGTAGAAATTGGCGAATAATGAAAAAGTTTAGTGTAAATGGGTGGTTGAGGGATGTGGGACGATACTCTCAAGACATTACCACCCCATACTATTGTTGTTAGTTTGTTTATTATTTATTTTCCAGTTATTTTATTTTTTACTTATTTCGTTTTTTTACTGTGGAAGGATTTTTTCATTTGTTCACGGTGTGTTTGGATTTTTCACTATTCACTATTGCCTACTTCTGTTAGGTTTTCCCATTTTACAGTGAGAGGGGTGAGGTGATTAGCATTTTTTAAGGGGTGCCCTCGAAGGCACAGCAGTGTAGTGACAGTCTGTATCTATATCTCATACACTGTAGATTTCTACTCTGCTCTACTATCCCCTTGGAAATTGTTACTTTGTTTTCCCCTCTCTGGTTATTTTTAACGATTGACATTGACTCAATCACACAATATTGTTATTTTACATATTGTAACTTTCCAGTTTGACTCATATAGTCCACAGTTTAAGGGTAGACAGTCTCTGGATTTCTTTCTTTATTATTAATATATTTGTTTATTGAGATTATCTTATTTTTGTTTATCTCAATTTTTCGTTATTATTAATAACTTTTTCTATTTTTTAATTTTATTATTATTGTAGGATTTATCCTAATATAGATATTAATTTAATTTTCTTTATTGAGTCAAAGGTTTTTACTATTTGTATATCTATTAATTTATGTTTTATTAAGGTTACTCTCTGTCCATGAAGGTTTATGTGTTCCTTTTTTTTTTTAAAATTATTATTATTATTCACAACAATACGACTCCAAAATAATTATACTCAGTCGGAGTATAGGGGATACGTTACATTGGTGGCAAGCGGCGGGATTTTTCTCCCGCTAGTACAATACGGGGGGACCTGGCACAGGTCCCCTTTTCCCTATGGTGGTGAACCCAAATAACTAAAATGGGGGGACATAGTGCCCCCACCCATGACCCGTGGGTGTGGGCTATTAATATAAACGGGGGGAACTAGTGTGTCTCCCCAGGCCCTCACCCATGACCGTCGGGTGGGGACCTTAATTAAATAATAGGGGAAACCTAATGTCCCCCCAAGTCCCTACCCATGAGTGGTGGGTGGGGACCCTAAATAATTAAATGGGGGACTTTGATTTTCTATTCCATGTCTGGTTTTCTTTATGCTGGGTTTTCTGGGTTAATATCTGTATTCCATTCCTGGAATTCCCAGTCTCTTGGATTCCTTTAAATGTTTGTGTTTTTTTTTTGTTGCCACACCATTTCCTTTCCCATTAATCCTTTTTGTTTCAGTTGGTTCCTGCAGGCAGTTGTTTCAAGTCATCAGCCCCTTTCTTGCAGGTAAGTGCTGTGAGTGTTTATTATTGTTTATTTAGTCATGCATATTTAGGCAGATTAGAACCCATCGTAATTGAAGTACTTTGACGCAGTGGTGGGTTGCATACATCTTGGCCATTTATGTACCGTATATACTCGAGTATAAGCCGACCCGAATATAAGCCGAGGCCCCTAATTTTACCACAAAAAAACTGGGAAAACTTATCGACTCGAGTATAAGCCTGGGGTGGGAAATGCAGCAGCTACTGGTAAATTTCTAAATAAAATTAGATCCCAATAAAATTACATTAATTGAATATTTATTTACAGTGTGTGTATAGAATGAATGCAGAGTTTGTGTTTGTGTGTTGTGTGTAAACTGGATGAGGGGAGGGCATTTTTATTTTAATTTTTTAATGTTATTATATTATTTTAATATTATTTGTTGCCTGGTCAGGGAGGGGGGACAAAAAAACATTTTTTTTTTAAATAATGCAAATATTAAAATAATAATAATAAAATAATATTAAAATAATATAATATTAAAATAATAATATTATATTATTATTATTTTAATAATTGCATTATTTTTTAAAAAATTTTTTTGTCCCCCCTCCCTGGCCAGGCAACAAGCAGGGAGGGGGGACAAAAAAACATTAAAAAAAATAATGCAAATATTAAAATAATAATAATAATATAATAATAAAATAATATAATATTAAAATAATTATATTTTATTATTATATTATTATTATTTTAATATTTGCATTATTTTTTTTAAAATGTTTTTGTCCCCCCTCCCTGGCCAGGCAACAAGCAGGGAGGGGGGACAAAAACATTTAAAAAAAAATAATGCAAATATTAAAATAATATATAATAATATTATTGTAATAATATTATTTTATTATTATTAAAATAATATTAAATCCCTGGTGGTCCAGTGGCATTGGCAGTTCAGTGGGGGGGCTGGCAGTGAGCTCTTACTTACCTTCCTGCAGCTCCTGTCAGCTCCCTCCTCCTCCCTGAAGCTCCCCGGTCAGCTCTGTTCTGTTTACAGTGTAAGCGTGGGTCTCGTGAGACTTACACTGGGAGCAGAACGGAGCTGACAGGGGAGCTGCATGGAGGAGGAGGGAGCTGACAGGAGCTGCAGGAAGGTAAGTAAGAGCTTGCTGTCAGCCCCCAACAGGACCGCCGGGCTTGTAATGAGCCCGGTGGTCCTGGTCTGTATTATGGCAATGCAAGTTGCCATAATACAGACTGACTCGAGTATAAGCCGAGTGGGGGGTTTTCAGCACAAAAAAATGTGCCGAAAAACTCGGCTTATACTCGAGTATATACAGTATGTCTAAATCTCCAATGTTTATAGTTATGTCTCCTCTTGTTTTGCCTTGCATCTCTGGTCTTGTTTTATTTTGTCTTGTATTCCCAGTTCATGTACAGTCCTGTCCTGCCCTGTTTATGTTTCCCTCATGTCTTGTGTACATGTTCTGGGTTCTGCTTTCTGTCCTGCTCTGGTTCTGGGTTCTTCTAGTTTTGTCTTGTTTTCTTGTTAGGTACCTGTCCTAGTCTTGCCTTGTTTCTGTACTGGGTACATTTCTGCTGCGGAGCCCCCCTATCCAGTTCCTGGGAGGTCTGCATATTATCAAGCTCCTAGCTCTTGGGATCCGCAGTAGCTGCATCAGGGCCCCAGTATGTGGCCGCACAAATGCTGGTGCTCAACACCAGTGGGTGTGTGGTTACCCTGCACCAGTCCTTGATAGTCTATGTCCATGCTAGGACTCCCAATATCATCAGGCACTCAAGGGTCCCGGGCTCCGTACCGCCACCCATGACAGTTCCACAGAAAAGGTGCAGCCCTGGAGAAGTCATGGAGGTGAGCATCAAATGTGGGAGTACGGACAGAGGATAGACATAGGCCTTCGGCAGAGCACAGGGGCCTCGACGGGACATACTTGTGTATTAGGCAGGATAAGTAGGTTGGAGCATCATTATGTAGGGACTTGTAAGCGAGCACCAGAATCTTAAATTAAGACCTATATCTAGCTGGAAGCCAATGTAGAGGGGGAGGAGTGGGAGATGCAGGCAGACAGGAAAATTAGCATAGCCACCACATTCATTACAGATTGTAATGGTGCAATCTGGGAACATGTAAGACCACTGAGAAGGGGATTGCAGTAGTCAAGGCAAGAAAGAACAATGGCATGGACCAGCACCTTAGCTGTGTCCGGTATTAAATAGGGGTGGATGCGAACTATAGTTTTTGAGATGGAAGCGGCAGGATTTGGCGATCGACTGGACATGAGGGGTGAATGAGAGGACGGAGTCAGTGAGAACAGGCAGCGAGATGATGGTGGCGCCGTTGACTCAGAGCAAGAAAGACATGGGAGTAGCAACACTTGAGGGAGGAAAGACCAGAAGTTCTGTTTTGGACAGGTTGAGTTTAAGGAAGTGAGCAGAGATCCAGTTGGAAATTTTGGAGAGGCAGTCAGAGACACTAGTCAAGATAGGCGGAGAAAGATCAGGAAAGGACAGGTAGATTTGTGTCATCTGCATATAAATGATAATGGAAGCCAGAGGAGCTGATGAGTTTACCAAGGGAGGCAGTATAGATTGAAAACAGTAGGGGACCAAAGACAGAACCTTGGAGAAAGCCAATAGAGAGGAGTTAGAGGAGAAAAGACAGAGCCAAAGAAAGAAACACTGAGAAAGCGCTGGAAGAGGTAGGAGGAGCACCAGGAGAGAGCAGTATCTCGTAGACTGAGATTATGGAGAATGAGAAGAAGCTGTTAATGATTAACAGTGTCAAATGCAGCAGAAAGATCAACGAGAATTAGGATA